GGATACAACACTGAACTTCGGAACATATTGAACCCAATCCATGCTGCCTCGGGATTAGACATGTTAACGCCTGCTGAAAGCCGGGGACCGACTGGGCGAGTCTATACGTGACTTTCTGTTAACTAAGCCGGAATTCAACATGGATAAATCAAGCGCCCGGTACATTAAACACAAATCGAAACGGCTTGAAAATGCAAAAAAGCTGAAAAAAATACTACCGCAAACGCATGAAAGAAACCAACTCGACTGAAGACCACCAGAAGTTTGTCCAAGCCCTTCGTACTCATAGCAAATTAAAAAAAGACCAAGTCAAACAATGCCAAGAAAAAAACGGCCCGCCACCAAGAAAAACAGTTTTAAGAGAACTTCTTGACGTTTTCAAAATACGCTTGCAACAGAACCATGGGAAAAAAATCGTCTTTGCCAACTTTAACCAGAGAAATTGCCGATGTTTACTACCCCGATAAATATTCTCGGTCGGCCAACCTTGACCTCACTCAACTGACATGGTTTCCATACATTAGAACCAGTGAAACTCCTTTTGACATGGATCCTATCCGCCCAGCTGATGTGAAACGGGTAATCCAACGTAAAAGCAGTTCATCAGCCCCAGGCCCCGACTTAATAACTTATGGAATCCTCAAGAAACTCCCGTGCGTTCATCATTTCTTGGCTACACTCTACAATAACCTCTTGACCACATCACACATTCCGCCTAAGTCCTGGTGCACGTCATCCATAACACTTATCTACAAAAGGGGAACAACAGAACAACCAGCCAATTTTCGCACGATTGCTCTTTCAAGTGTCCTCGGGAAAACATTCCACCAGATTCTCGCCAGCCGGACCGCAGATTACCCGACTGCCAACAAATTCATTGATCCCTCAACTCAAAAGGCCTTTATCCGTGGCATCAATGGCGTCATTGAACACAATCAAGTACTTAATGAGATCATCTCCCATGCAAAAAGTAACAACCGGCAGTTCACATTAGCTTCTTTGATCTGGAAGATGCCTTTTGGTCTGTTCATCACAAACTGATAAGCCATTCCCTCTCCAGGTTCATTTCCCTCCGGCCATTAAGCGATACATCGAAAATCTGTATGCCAACCTGGAAGGTCGAGTCACAACCCCAGACTGGGAGTCATCAAAATTTAAATTTCGCAAAGGGGTGTTCCAGGGCGACCCATTATCTCCGATTATTTTCCTTTCAGTTTTTAACCCAATTATCGAAAAACTGAAACAAAACGAATCATATGGATACCGAATCAAGGACACCAAATACATAACTATCCCCTTTGCAGAGGACTTTAACCTCATTACGACCAACAAAAGAACTCATCAACGAATTCTGAACGAAGTTTCCGCCTGGACAAGTTCTATGACCTTAAATTGAAACCCACTAAATGTAAATCTCCATGCTTTAGATGCATTAGTTCACCGGTTTATAAAGAACTGGACCGGATTACCACGATCAGCCACCCCGGCGGTCCTTCACATTCCTCATCTCACTGATGTAAAATCGATTGAATAGTTGTACCTCGAATCCCATGCTTTAGCTCACCTTTCATCAAGACTAAAGAATGACGCTAAAGTCAACAATGCCCTTGACTATAAACCGAGAGAGAAGCTGTCTGCACTCGGAAATCATCCACGATCCAGCACTCTCAACAGCTGGTTGATACAGTAACAATGAATAATAATACCCCAGTGGGGTATAGCAATGTGAAGACTGCCCTCCAAAAGTCTATACAATGTGAAATGAACGACAAGTGGATAAACCATTTAAAAGCTCTGACAATTCAGGGTAAGTTGGTTTGTATCTCCGAGTCTGAGAGATCAGATCCGTGTTGTAAATCTTATATTTTCAATTTGCCAAAAGGTGTGATTTTTAGACACTCTTCCCACAAAGGCAAATCTCAGTCGTCGGGGTAAGGTTGTCAATACAAAATGTAGTCTCTGTGGCAAGAAAGAGACCCTCCTGCATATACTGAACGGCTGTAAATACATGCTTGATCAGGGCCGCTATACTTGGCGTTACAATTGTGTACTCCGCCTCATATGTGATGCTCTGCACCTAGCTAGAGCAGAGGCATGGGAAATATATTGCGATATTCCAGGTGCCAAAAAGACTGCTGGAACCACTATTCCACCATCTATTCTTGCCACTCAACAAAGACCAGACCTTGTTATTGTTAACATTATCAAGAAAGCCATAATAATCTTGGAGCTCACAATCCCTTATGAACAAAATATTAACAAAGCCCACACTAGAAAATTGGAGAAATACTCTTGCCTTGTTGAGGATTTGCATGATGTAGGTTACACTACTTATCTTGTTTGCCTAGAAGTTGGTAGTAGAGGACTCCTTACACAGGATAACCTCACAAGGCTACAGTCTCTTTTCCTCCTCGTGACAGACAGAAACAAGCCTATGAAAAGGGAGGCGAAGAAAATGCCAAATCTTTTAGCCGGTGTGCAGTTTACTGCGTCCTATAGCATTTTTATTCTAAATACGACCCCGATTGCACCATTGACTCAATTTTGTTCTTTTCTTGCCTCTCACCCCCATTTTTATCACTCCCCTCTTTTTTACTGTTCCCCTACACAATTTGTTCTTTTCTTTTTTGCATCCCATGTTTTAACAACCCCCTTAAACCTGTCATGCTGGCGTGAAGTGTCCCCCTTTCTGAACGTATTTTTTTTTTTGGACTTTGTTGTTTCATGTAAATTGTGTGTGTTTGTCGATCCTGCGGAGTTACGGGAGGGCTATTGCCTCGTCCGTTCTCTTGTCTGGAGTTATTTCTGTAGCTTTTCAGTGTAATTTGCTAATGTTTAATATTAAATACTGAAATGAATAAATAAATATCTTGTAGCTCATTTAAACTGTCTAGAATTCACCAATTTACAAATACTGTTTTTTTTTCACACACCGTAGGGGGGGGGGGGCTAGGGTTAAAGTGCAAAGAAAACTATACATCTGTCGAGAATGAGATCATGCACCTTTGAGTACTTTGCACCCGATTATCTTCAACGATGACTGAAAAGAAAGGACTCCTTTCGGTTGTAACCCATCTCGCCCAGCTTTCAAGCAAAACGCACAAGAAAAAGTAAGAGCATTTTTTTGCATGCATTTATGAAAACAAGAAAACAATCCAAACGTTAAATTGAGTGTACTTGCAAAAATCAAATTTATTGTCTTTCAATCTGAGTACTTATTTTTCGCGACTTTGCCATACAAAATCTGGGTATAGGCCTATATGTGTATGTGATGGGAAACTATAGTTGAACATTAAAACATTACAATTACTAGTTGAACATTACAATTACTAACTTATCTCTAGCTTGTAATTTCCTGGAAATCATGCAAAAGTCCAGGAATTGTCATCTATTTTCTGTTGTCAAACTGTTCTTTACTTATTTCACCTTGATGTCTCACTGTTGCCTGTATGCCCTGTAATAAAGGTTTACACTTCAAAGAAGCTACCTTTGGGCAGCTATACTAAGCAGCATACGGAATGCAGGACGCTCAAATGATGAGTCTAAATCATTAAAGATACTGATTCTAAATCATTAAAGATACTGAGTCTATCATAAACAAAACTGAATCAGTTAAAAGAAATAGACAAAAATGGACCTGCTAACTTCATCATAGTCTGAGTAACACTTAATAAAGTAAAACAAAGTTACATCATAAACAGCATGAATCTCAACACCACGGAATTATTGTCATTTTTTTCTATAATAGTCTTCTTCTAATAATGTTTGTCGTAAAATGAAAACGTGGTGTATAGATTAATATATGGATCAGTTTCAGTTCAATGCCATGAATCAGTAAGCTTTTATTTTTTTTGTAGAGGCAAATAATAGGTGTGTCAAGTCAAACAGAATATGCTTCAGGTACTTTTGGGCTCATTTTGTGAGAACTTACAACATACAATTGCCTTTCTTGCGTGGTATTACATAGTCACTTTTATTAGTGACATGAAACACTAACACATACAGGGTGAGTCAAAAAGAAAGTAACCTGGATTATTTTCCCCTTAAAAAAACAATCAAATTGTATACACTAATGCTGTTTGTCTCAAATCAACACGTTCTTCCACTCATCTGAAAACAAAAAGAATTTGTGAAATTGATCCATTCAATCAGAAGTAATGCACGTTTTACTAAAAGAACCTATTTTTATAGCTGTCCATGGAATGCCATTGGAAGCTATTGAAATGAGTGAGAATTACAGATTACACACAGGCATTCAAATTCAAATGCGATTTTAATCATTTGAGTAAAGACTTAAACATTAATTTTTCTGCCCGATTTTTACTGTCAGATTTGAATATGGGGAACAAGTCAACCTTTTTTTCTGAAATATTGAAATGTTTTCCGTTGCAAGTTTTCGTTTAGTCATGGCGGTGGGAAAACGTTCATGTTTCATTGTTCTTAGAACAGTAAATGATGCATTGGTGGACAACTGAATTTTGTGATTTTTTTATTAAAATAGACATAACTTAAGAATACAGTATGCAAATTACGTGAAATTGTCACGGTTACTTGTCAATGTACTTTTTTTATGAAATGGAGCGAGCCAAATATATTTTTAAATATTTTTTTCTATGATTTTCATATGTGACCATTATGACATATGATAAAAAGACGAAGTTAGGTCAGGTCATTTCACTACATAATTATCGAGTCGTTCATTGGCTTCGAAGCTAAACATCTAAAAGATTAAAAGGGTTGCAAAAAAATAACACTGTGAAAATTTAACACCTAAACGTTTATGTAAAAACAATAGATTCAAATATTGTTAAGCATCCAATCTTCAAATCTGCAATGATATTACTGAAAATGCACATCAGTGCATTGGTACAACTATCTACAATTTGCTGAGTTCCTTGAAATAACGATGTCATCAAAGCTATGAAATCAAATTAAAATCAGCAGCAGTGCCATTTGTATCTTAATGCTTTGAAGCATCTAGGCACTGATTATCTTGTTGACTGTTTGCGACAAGCCGGCCGCATTGATGGCCGTCAATGTCAAGTGGTAGTCGGTGTACGGAACCAGCCGCGAGACATTCATACCAGACTCCATGGTCTCCACCCACTGCATGACGTCACTTCCACCTGGAATGGTACCCAGAGATACCTCATACACCAAGGAGGACGAAGGGGAGGAGAACAAGCCATCCCAGGCTAGATCAACCGTCGTGTTACTGGGCCAGGAAGAGCGTAGCAGACTTGGCGCTGTTTCATAAAGAATCATCAACCAAAAGGCAGGTTTTTATGTGAGATGGTTATGTTTATAGGTGGACTTAAGGGGAACGATGAGACTTTCACAATGGTTCCCGGGAAAGTTGGACTTTGTTTGCACCAACCCTTAAGCAGAAACAATTCAGGGATTTAAAATAATCTCAGTGTCATTACCATTCTCGACAATACACCATTTGGACATTGAGCCGCCTCGTTTGGATAGATGAGTAAGTGGCTGAATGTGAAACCTGGTAAGGGTATTCTCATTAAGCAATTATGTTTTTGTACTAATCCCATTTTGAAAACTATCGTGAACAGAAAATTGAAATACTGAATTACATACGTCCTACAACAGGCTCCGAAGACTCCACAGCAAAGTTGCTTGTGATATGCTGACTGATCAGACCGGCATGATTGATGGCTCTGACTGACAGGCTATAGGTTGCATCATCAACCAGGCTAAGACCTGACCAATCAAGGTGGGTCTCTGATGTTGATCCACAAGGTGTCCAGGAGGTGAAGGTGTTGGGTCCACTAAGCAAGCACTGGGAAGAGAAAACGTGATTGATATCAGGACAAAGACTAAAGATACATCATATCAACCTTTGGAATATGTTGCCAAATATAAAACAAACAACTTTAATTGTCTATCCCTCTAGCTGTATCTTGCGCTCTTTACTCCAGCTGGATCTGTTGTTATTTTGACATCGCAGCAGTGTGTAACTCGATGTAGTTTATATATTGATCAGAGCAGAAAGGCATTACAAGTTATGTAGTGCCTCCACACTGTACAATATGTACTGACCTCATAAGAGTGAATTCCGAACGGATCCACGAAGCCAACCTATGATGCTTTGAGAGAGTGTCTCTGAGACTGGTATCCGTTGCGTGATTCGTATTGAGTATCTGACATGGTCTTCACAATGACAGCTGCTGTCGTAGAACCAGGAGGCACCGTCACTATTGTAACACCATCTGATGATTTCCACGATGACTGTTCAGCATGATTGTAGCACGTGACGGTTACATACAGGAGCTGGCCCTCTACCATAATTTGAGACAGACTAGCGGTGATGCTGGACGTGGCATCAGGAGACGATGACCTGGGTAGGATGTCATCCAGTCCAGGCCCTGAGCCTGAAAAATGAATATGCAGGGTAATAGAGTACAGATGCAGTATGCCTACAAACTGTCCTTTCGTAGGCTGATTGATGGTGGGGAACTTCAGATGTCTATAATCATCAACAATAATCACTGTAACAGCTTAAAACGACACAATAGCTGGATATCAGATGCTAATTACCAGATGAATTGTTGGGATTGTAGTTGGCCAAATATTATATAGAGCAATATTTTGAGCTTTTCAATTTTTGGGGTAAGATATCCTGATTACTTTATCAGAGCGGACAATGGCTAACTGAGAGTTAGGTTTTTGCCAAAGCGTCACGTGTTATCTTTTGCTGAATGTCGGGTGATGACCACAGGGTCATCAGGTGTGTCAACCAATCGTAGGATGCTTAATTGACTACGATGACTATGAGGTTAGGTTGTAACAGAGTGTTGGTTGCACATTATACAGCTTAAGATCAGACACTGTCCAATTCAGGGTCAGATCTCTGACAGCCAAACCTACAGTGCCAACTTGTACAACATAAAAATACTATAGATAGATGGTTAACAAAAAGTGTCACCGCTACTGAACCTTAAGTGTGACGATAAAAAAAAATAGGGGTTCCGATCTGCTTACCAACTGCCCATGTGCAGTGATCAATTCCACTTTCAGGATCAGATGCCGACCAGCTGAAGGTCAGAGCAGAATCATTTGCACTGAAGTCAACATCTGTCATGGGGGAAAGTGATTCTCAATTAGGCGGTTGTCTATGTTCGTGCAACTTAATACATATTGTTTTGGGTTGTTTGCGGGTGGTTGTGTCAGTTACAGATTTTCACGGCTTTAAAAAATATGAAAGACAAACTAAATTTCTTCAATTTCAGATCTCAATTTCATGATTATAAAAATAAAGTATACGGCTTTTACAGTCAAAACAGTAAACAAAGTTGAGTAGTAGTCCACCTTACCCCTACAATTTTGCTGTCGGAATTGCTAAAGTCACAGTCACCCCGTTAAAAACCGGGGTTCTACCTGTAAATCTGAGGAATATTCACAATTTCTGTTTGATTTTCATGCGAGAAGTCGAGGAGATATATTGAACGATTCATAGCCAGGCAGAGAATTACTAAAAGATCATATGGAAATCGCAAAGGGAGTAAAGATTTATTATATACCATTTAAATCCCTTCCGTCAGCGACAGCATGGATGATAGGAGGGGTCAGATCAATCACTACAGGGTCAGAGGTCGCTCTGGTGATGAGGTCGGCTGCATTTCTTGCAATCACAGTAACGTAGACTCTGGAGCCATGTGCCATTCTAAGGTTACTGTTCATAGCGTCTGTCTGTGTACCAACCGATGTGAATGTTTGTAGTTGGGTACCGCCTCTCGTAGTTCCTTAGGAGTAGTATCATAAAACAAATCAATTTAACATTTAAGTTTCCTGTTATTTTCATAAAAAAGCTCAAGGAAGTATCTATCTCAGGTAGGTTGGTCTGGCAGGATACCATAGTATTATTTTTACAACACAATACTTTCCTATGACGGTGTCATGTTTTGGCAAATGTAATAGGCCTAGGTACAAACATTGTTAGTAACCAAGACAAAAACAATATGTAGGACTAAGGTACATCTTCAGTTTTTGAGATCATTAATCGTTAACAGAAACCAAGGCTGTTGTTAGTGAATAGACTATAATACTCAACCTACCTATGGCCCAGCTGTAGTCCACTATGGGACTCTCGGGATCAATGAAATGCCACTTGGCCTGGACTGATGACCAGCCTTGACTGATGTGAGTATGGACTTCTACAGCCCCATCACCGGTGCTTTGTCCAAGGGTGATCCGTTTTACCTATGGTAAAGAAGACATTAAATTAAAGGTTCAAAAAGTAAATGTCAGAAACGAATACTGGGGAAAATGTTGCGAGTGAATGAATTCAGACCTTAATGTGGTATATAGAACAGGTAGTTTGAGACATGCTGGTATTTTTTATTCAAATGGTGCTGTAACTAATAAAATGGGAGTATTTGGTGGGCACGTGTGGTCTTGCAGTAGAGCATAGGATTCATGATCGTGAGATTATGGGTTCGAGCCGTGCCCTGGCCATGCGTGTCGTGCCCTTGAGTAAGGCGCTTTACCTCAATTACTCCTCTCAACCCATATGTTAAATGGATACCGGTATTATTCAATGCTGGGAAGGGAACAGACTCGCTGTGGAGGAGGTGTGGCGATCCCCCCACGGCAGCATATGAGTCTGGCCAAATCGCTAATGAAAGACAGATTGGGACTCCGTTCCTGTAAACACAGGTTCGTCCCCCTTTACCTTTACCTTTATTAATTGGTTAATTTATTGGATTTGAAGGTTGAGATATTAATGGATGGTAACAATATATATGAACCTTATTTAGTCATTTTGCTTATGTGGTACACCACTTAGAATGATTTAGGTGTGTGTATCTCTAAACCCTTCAGAGCCAACTTTAATTTATGTGTGTTGGTTTTCACCTGAACATCATCCAATAGGATTCCATTGGATTGTCCCACTGAGGAGATTTTCAGTCACTTTGCACTTAGATGAGTTGACGCGCAAACCAGTGTCCGAACACCACTCCTGAAATTCGGTCAGAGCTGCGGGTATCACACTGTCAGGTCACCCACATACTTTCATCTCGCGACTGAACCTGGCGATGTGAGCGCGTCGTTTATCATCGCGAGGAAGATGAGTGGTCCAAGGCGCGTCCCTTGAGGGACGCCTCCACGCGGTGTGAGTGGCGCCGAGATTTCACCATTGTATCGTGTAATCTGCTCTCTCCCATGAAGGAAACTCTCCATCCATGGAATGATGCTGGGCGTACACCCATTGTGAGGAGTTTGGTTATGGCGATGTTGTGGTTTACAAGATCAAACGCTTTGCTAAAATCTGTGACCACCACAGTGGAGACAGTCCGAAGCACGTCAGCGTTGCTATGCAGGAAGTGTAGTAAATCAACAAGGTAGTGAAATGTGGAGATACCTTGTCTGTTTCCGAACTGTTGATCATCAATGCCTCCACGGATATCTGCGAGAAGTTCGCGATAGACAAACAGTTCTGCTAGCTTTGCGAAATGATCCGTCAAAGATATCGGACGAAGTTTGTCGAGTGAGGGCGGGGATTGTTTACGGACTGGCACAACGATCGACTTCTTCCATTGAGATGGTACCTTCCCTTCTGTTAGTGAGGCATTGATGATGTCACAAAGTGGGGACGCTAGTTCCAGTGCAAACTCACGAATCAACTTTGCGGAGATTCCGTCTGGACCACAACTCTTTCCAACTTTGATTTTCTTGAGTTCGGCATACACGATCAAAGGCTGGACGTGCGGAATAGTTTTAGGGTCTATAGGATGAAATGCTGGTAACTCCTTGTTGTCAAGAGGATGTACATCTGACGAAATATCAATGAATTGTTTGTTAATTACGTTGGCAATGTTGCGTTTATCAGTCGCTTCCACACCAGGAACATTGATTTCAGTTTTTGGTGACGAATTTGTGGTTGCAATCTTCACAAAGTTGAACCATGCATTTGGATTTTGCGTTTTCAGTCTTTGAATACGGTTTCTGTGGCAATCCTCCTTTGATTTGTTGATCTCTCTCTGGACAAGATTTCTCAGACGAGACCATTCAGTGATACTCTGATGAAATGCAGTTTGTCTGGAATGGATCAGTTCCTTTACCATGGGGGACATCCATGGTTTATCCTTACAATGCATGTTGATCTCTGGTGGGAAAGAAGGACTGTACAGCAGGAAGGAGATCCTTGTAAAAGTTCTCACATTTGGCTTCAACATCAACTGCCTTGGTCACGGCAGACCAATCATGAGTCACTCTCCAATCTCTGAAGCATCTGATGTCTGACTGACGCATCGGTTGGATTGTTTTGCGATGAGTCTGGTTTCGATGTTGTACTTTGTAGTTTTTCGGCTCCCATATCACACCTCTGTGGTCACTACGGCCGAGTGGAGATGACAGTTGCACAGGTGAGTATAGTTTGTGAAGGTTTGTGACAAGTGTGTCAAGGATAGCATCTTTTCGCGTAGCCTTATCAAGAATTTGTTTCAGTCTATGATTACTGATGAGCGGGGTCATATTCAAGTGGTTAACATCTCCAAGTATGATGAGTCCTGCATCAGGATTACTCGCAGAGATATCGTCCACTGCGTGTGTCATATGCTGAATAAGGGATTCGCTGTTGGGGTTGTTAGGAGGAGAATACACCGACGCTACAATAATGGAAGACAGTGTTCGTGGCAGTCGATGAGGGCGTAATTGCGCCCATACAATTTCATGCTCTGTAGGGACATTGAGGCGAGCCAAGGGTGTAGGGTTTATGTTGTTTTTTATGTACCCTGTTCTTTATATCATTTCATAATTTTTGTCGTGGGGTTAACTGAGCCTGTTTTTCATATTTGTTTGTTTTACTTTCATTTTTATTTCAGCTCTTGTCCTGACATGCCCGCGCCCTGTGGTTCTAGCAACCTAGAAGACCCTAACCCTAACCCCCAAGTGTTAGAGGGCGCCCTTGTGTAGGGCCTGACGTTAATGATGGTTCGTCAATAACCGGCGGGACTACATCGGGCGAGGTAGCGACCGATTACAATGCTGATTTCCAGTCAGCTCTGGCAGGTGGGTAATAACAAAGACGGTTTTTTATTTGAGGCAAAGAAATTATTTTCACTAAAGTGTCTCAGAATGCTTCAAATAGCCTTGTACTTTACCGTCACATAAAATTTTGCAAAAGGGGTTGTAGAGGGTGAGTAAAAAAAAGCGAAACCCAAATGCCTATGTGATTTGTTTTCGTTTTGCGGAAAGAACACTAACCTTCTTGTGATCCGTGAATAGAACTTTAAAACGGTGGTTGGGTTTTAAATTCCGTAACTTGAAAAGTACATAAGTGATTCTTGTATTAAAAAAAAGCCAATAAATTGGGCTTCTGTATCCTAGATTTTGAAAGGGCGACATGCAGAACTTCACTAAAACAATGGTCCCGACATTTGGGTTTCGCTATTTTTGACTCGCCCTGTATAGACATGATTCAAGTTAACTTGACAGTTGTCGTATCTAGTTGCTGCAGTCGATTGGTTGATTGCATCAATAATGATGTTTAAGATTCCTTGGACCAATCTTACGCAAGGTCATTGCCTCATATCTCTTCGTTAATTATCATTGTTTCTCATATTATTCCTCACTACATGTATATGATCCTATTACGCATAATGTCTGTTTCTAAGTTTGTTACCAATATATATCTCAGAATGCATCAAATAGCTTTGTACTTAACCAAGCTGTACAGCGTGTGTCAATAAAAACGCAGGATTAGAAACAAAAATATTAAGAATATAAACCACCCCTATTCATCATAATGTTAACCCTCTTTTCAAAGTACCTTTCCTTCTCTTCACTATGCTTTTTATCCCATCTCATTTGGACAATCCTGTCCAGAGATAGAGTACATTGAAGAAGGGTTATAAATTCCAAGCTGGTCTGATTTGTGAAATCATACCTAATGAAAGGTTTGAATTCAGTACAGGTGAAAGTATTTGTGGATCACAAAGAAGGACATGTGTGGCAGGATTAGGCTTACATAATCCTTTAGTCCACAATCAATGTTATTAGTCAATAATTCATGATGCTTTGAAACAATGATAGTCCAGTTATTAAATTTAAGTGATACTTATCATCAGTTGTTTCAAAGAAAGTTTTGTTCTGGTTTAATTGTCTTCAATGCATACCTGCATTGTACATAACTGGTCGTTGTGTTAAGGTCATTGAATCAGACCAACCCGCTTCAGAAGGGCTTCACAAAACTTGTCATAACTTTTGAACCAAAAGTCCAAATTCCACCAAACAAAAATTATGTCAAAGATGAAATTATGGACAATCAAATCCTTATCAAATTAGGCACACCAGTAGCATAATTTTCTCAGAAAAAAAATCGCTTTGAATCCTGCGTTTTTATTGACACACGCTGTATAGTCTTGATTCAAGAAGTTAACTTGCCGGTTGTCCTACCTAGTTGCTGCAGTTGATTGGTCAATACCATCAATAATGATTTTTAAGAGTCTTCGAACCAATCTTATACGCAAGGGCATTTCATCAACTCTCATCAATAATTCTCATTTATTAACTCTCCATTTTTTTCCCGATTAATAACGATTTGTTTGTTTCTCTTGTTGCGTTTCTCAGGTTTGAAGTTATTGGACATCAATGCACAAAGGTGTAAGACCCAGACATTTCCCCTAATATTATGCCTTAATTTAGTTTAGTTGTATCTAATGAGTTAATTTATAGCATATAAAAATATTTTTTCCAACATCTTTACCGTTTATATCACTCAAGTACATAACTTCACAAAACTAAGAGGGTTAGACTTATTACAGTAGGCACATTAGTGCAACAATAAAAAAAACCTGTTGTCCTATACCGAAATTATATCTTCAAATAGAAAACCGTGCGTCATCCTGTAGCTTGTTTAGTACCCTTTAAGCTAATATAACATTTGTTATGAAAAGTGTTTCAGAAAGTGCAGAAATTTGCGGGGACTACTTACGGTAAATTATTGAGAAGTATCCAAAAAAAAGCAAAACAAACTAAAATTATGTTTGCTGATACATTTTTACAATCGGCCATAAACGGCCTGGATAAAATTGTCTATTTTCTTCATAAATTGGTACTCTGATTAATTCGCTACAAATATAATCAACCGGAAAAGTCGCGCAATGCATCGTTGTGCCGAAGAAAATCAACTTTGTAAGCAGCCCTCAGCTGAGATTTAACGTAAAACGCTGTCGCTGGCGACAAAGTGAACAGCGCCCACTATTGTTGAGATTTGTCTAGCGTGATCGCTGTGTTGGGCTCGGTGTCGTCGATGGCACTTCGGAAATTTGTGTAAGGAGGTTCAAATCTCGGGGCTCGTGTGGGATTTACAGTTAACCATTATTGAAGAAATTGAGCTGTTAATGGTTTTCTTTTTCATGGGAAATGTAGATAGAATTACAGATGAACAGATTTTATTTTTTGCACAATGATTTGGTGTAGGCCCACACTGGGCGCGGTCAGCCAAACGACAACATCATGTTCCTGGTGTTAGTGATTTCAGCCAACCGAACGTGTTTTCCCCACGGAAGCCAGATACTTGCAAGCACGAATTTGTTGATAATAATGTCCAGCCACAATTCCTGACCAGATCTGTCATTGTGATGTAAAGCATCGACAATGACTTAAATGTAAACACTGAGTTCATAATATTTTCTGATAATTTTATTCTTATTTTTCTGTATGATTTTACTGAAACCAAGCCCTTACGTCCCCCATTTTCTTCTTATGATAAGGACTCCTTCACTCCATTGTGCATGGTCACACATTTTTTTCAGTTCCATTAATTTGGCAATGGACAAGAAGATCGGACAAACAAATTCGCCACCCTCTAAATGAGACGTGGAATAAATATCTAAAGAGAAGGGTCCGCCGGAACAACAGGCCGGATTATATAAGAACTTATAATAGACTACAACCG